CATTAAATAATGTTTACAGATTAACTTAAATCCTCTAAACTTTTCTAAAATACTCCACACAACCACTGGTTTGCATGAACTTCCTTTATTTTCCTTTATCATTTACAGCATTGTTTATATATAGCGTTTTTAATAGGCTATACATATTATATATATATTATAGGCTATACATTGCCTATAGAGGACATCTTTTAACATCCAAACAAAGTATTATGTTCTGTATCTTTATGAATAAAATCGTTTATTTTATGCAAAGCATCAGGCTTTTCCATCACACGAAAAGACCGTGACACTGGTTAAAGGTGATTCACACCACGCGCCTGTATGTTGCTCTGCATAAAATTAAACGATATACAGAGCACAGTAACCATTTTATAGATAAAATAAAATTTACACAAACCTGTATTTTACCGAAGAATGCATCAATTCGATGGCGCTTAGAACTGCTCTCTCGTGAAGAGAAGATGCAAAATCCCCGCGATAAATAACTCAACCGCTGGGTTATGTCTGACCCAGGATCTGAGTAACACAAAAACTACCCAAACATTGGGTTATGTCTGACCCAGGAGCTGCAAAACAACCCAAACACTGGGTTGTTACATTTGACCCAGGAGCTGAGTAACACAAAAACTACCCAAACATTGGGTTATGTCTGACCCAGGAGCTGCAAAACAACCCAAACACTGGGTTGTTACATTTGACCCAGGAGCTGAGTAACACAAAAACTACCCAAACACTGAAAAAATAACCCAAAAAGAAATGACCCAAAAGACTCAACCCAGGATTTTTTAGAGTGTATATTTTTCCTGCGCAACAATAATTAAATATCTGATGACTCAATAAATGCAATTCACCTTTATTCTTCAAGGTGGCACTATTTGATAGACAGTGATGACGTGATGTTTCACTCATAATTACCGCAGGCATAAAACAAAAGAATATCATCAGCAATAGCTGGGACCAAGACTAAGATTGCAAATATGAGCCAGATGCTGAATGTACTGGGAAAATGCGCTCTGACGTTGACAGTGATTGTAAAATCCATGCATTTAAGGGTTAAATAACCAATTTGTGTTTAAATTCACATAAAAAAAATCATGGCATGGCATCTTTCTTTTTTTTAATTCCGTTTTTGTGATATTAGTTCTCCTACAGGCTGTTTTTGTGCTTACCAGACATCTTCAGCATCCTCATCACACTCAGCCCCAAACTGGCAAATGTCACAGGTGGTCGTCTCTTTCTGTCCATTCTCTGCCGAACCCTCGTTTCCTGCTTGGATACACAAAGACAAGACAAGACAACATAAGCTATTAAACGTCTGACAAATATTACTTGGGGCAAGATGAGCAGGCATTCACAGTCCATCTCTCCTCTCACACAAACATTCATAAATAGATGGAGAGACCGAGGACAGACATAGTTCTCATTCAGTCTTTGTCTCTGGCTCTCATGAGAAATTCAAATCCCCCACTGATCTTTCCTCAGTCTCACCCCTCATTTCATCATGATGATTTCTGATTTGCCGCTCCTGCTCCCTGGCGATAGAGGCTTCCCAGGAGCCGAAGCTTAAAGCCCCTCGTTATCGCATATCTGCCCTCATCAGTGGACGGGGAAAAGCAATCCCGTACATCATGGAATTTAAATTACGTCTCCTCCTCAGAGGATCATCGCTCCCCTTTGCATCCTGACCCTCCATTATGAGGTGCTATTTTTAAAACGTAGACCGCAAAGACAAAGAGATGAAAAAAGAAAGGCAGGCAGATAAAAGTAAGAAAGTATTCTGCACTTCCATGCAAAGAACAATGTTTAAGTCACAGGTGTTACTGTTTTGCTAATTGTCTTTCTATTGATTCTCTTTTAAGTTTTTCTTTTCCTTCATTTTGGTCTAGATGACAACTACAAATACAAGCTTTGCACTGACACCGTGTCCTTTCACAGATCAAAGATTAAATAAATCTATGATTTTTTAAAATCCCAAACTGTTTTAATTCAGCAATATCACATGAAAAAGAGTTCTGTTGTTCCAAATTTTCAGACCAACAGTACAACCGCTTTTATACAACAGTTCAATGAACCGTCAATATTAATTAATATTAATATTAACAGTATAATATTATTAATAAAATTAATATTAACTTATATTTTAGACACAATAGTGGCAGTTTGGTATCAAAATGTTACAAAATCAACTGCTGTGTTTTGTTGCTGAATGAATCAGTTTTCTGACAAATCTTTTGAGTGAATAATTCAATTATTCACTCATACTAATTTGTTTTGTCTTCAATGAGTTAGTATTTTGAATGAATCGCTTGAGTGAATGACTCAACGCCTCACTCTTAAAGACAGTCAATTGCTTTGATTCAAAGGCGATTCAAAGGCTCACTCAAAAAAGTCACCTGTTGACACCTACTGTCGTAGAAAAGAGTCACTAAAAATACCCACCACTTATACAGAGACTGTCTGGAAGGCACAAAACAGACAATCGGGGAGTCAAACAATAAAAAGTAGAAGAAAATCAATGAAAAAGAGTAAAATAAACTGTGAGTATAAGATTTATTTTGATTTATTTTTTTTGGTTAATGTGAACGCAATGGCTAACATTAATTTCACAAACATAATAGATCAAGCTTTGCTCCAAACACATTTCCTGTCCAGCATCATGAGCGGAGCTGATTAACCCAGCACCCAGCTTCTCCTGGATGTGCGGCTGCATGGACCCAAGGGTCTGGAAATGAGAAACGTGTCGGATGGCAGGGGCAGTAACAGTTATCTCCATCTCTCAGTTAGATAGACCTTCTGAATTGATTTTCCCTGACCAGAAACACAATCACCAACCCCCTCTTTTTTTCATCTACAACTGCCGCCAAAAAGATCCTGCTTCTGATCGTGTTTATGAATATCTACGATGTGTGTGAAAACCCTAGGTCAATGATTGATTAAATGTATCTGTTTTGTGGATAATGGCTACAGAAATCTAGTCTTTTGTTATTATTATTGTTAATGATGAATCTTTAAAGCGCTTTTCATAAGGCGAAGACATTTAAGGTTATGAAACATTAAAATGTAGCAATCCGAGCACATACGGAGCAGAGGAATAGTTTTTGCTTTAAATGGTGGAAGGAAAGGAGATACTCAAATGAACAGAAGACAGATGGTGAGTGACCAAGAAAATGACTCTTAATGGGACAAACCTACTTGTGCAGAAACTAAGGAGAAAGGTGGGGGTGGATTTAGGGCACAACATGGGCTGTCAGACAGATGATGAATGAAGCCACCCATCTCATGAACAGTGTATGGAAACTGACCTTCATAAAAAGGAAGAATGAGTGTATACACACACACACACACACACACACACACACACACAAAAATGTGTTTCCTAGTTTTAGTTATATCATTGGAACAAATACGTAGTAGAAACAATTTCTTAATTTGTGGCCAGAATATCTATTGTTTTCCACATGTGGTGTGCAAAAAGGCACCAGATAAGCGTCAGATCATTTTTTTTCAGAACATATATCATAGATATAAACAGATGAATAAATTAATACTTTATTTGGCTCATAGTCATTTTTTTTTTTTACGTATAATTGAGAATTTAAAATGGAGTAATAAAGCAAATTCAAGACATATTCTCTGAAAACCTCAAGAGTCTTATTATCTAACGGATATTATCTAACTTATCTTTGCTTATAAACATGATTGTTTTGCAGAGTACATTGTTTCGTTTTACCCCATTTGCAAATTCTCTGAGATAAATTTGATTGTTTCATATATGAGCATGAGATGGAAATGAATTCCACTTGATTCTTTTGAGTGGTATTCATCGCAATGCACACAATGAATGAATGGATGGATGATACTGTAACTCCTGGGTCATTTAGTGAAAAGCAGCTCAGATTAACACAAACACACACACAATTTGTGAAATGGAAGGGGTTTAGAACATCACAGTTAAGCATTTGCTTAAACAATGAGGATCATGAAAAAGCTCTCCCTGGACTCGAAAAGGTCAAATTACACCATGTATATTATTTTGTATTTTGAAGATGCATTACTACAATGCAATGCTTTATTAGCATATGTGAAAAAAATTTAATGGAAGAAAAGCCTACATCCACAACCCCCTGAAGAGATGCCACCACACAAGAACATGCTGAGCTCTTAAGGGACACAAAGGTCAAGTGAATCTCCACAGATGGAGGGGACACATTACATCTTTGAATCAATAGAGAATGTAGCAAGCATAATGCTTACAGCGGAAAGATGATAGCCTGAAAGAGGATCTTTGGATTTCCACTTATCTCCACAAACTAATGATGCCGCTTCTATATGGTGAATGTGACATTTAAGTTTTATGCATGATGAGCAACAGAATCATCTTACTTTCTCAAAAGAATCTCCAGAGTGATGAAAATGGTCTTGTTCCTCCTTTTGTACTGCAGTAATGTGACTTTTTTTTCTGGCAGTGATTGCAAAATTCATGGAATGACTTTATAGGTGTTCGGTTTCATCACATTGCCTATGGGTATCTGAGAGCGAAAGTTATTTTTAAATCTTATTGTTTTAACTTATTTTTCTCGAAACAAAAGGATATTTTTTTCATAAATATGGTACCAGGCTCTCAATGCTTTAATCATGCGGTCATCAACTAAGCCTTCACCACACTGGGTCCATTAAAGCCTACTTCACACAAATAAGGCTGTTTGAGTGTCCCGGTCCCATTGGGAAAAGCATGTCGTAAAACCCCTTTGGCACTTTGCCTCTTCTATCCTCACCTGACAGCATAGAAGACCTTGCCAATGACCCATTTGCGCATGTAATTACAGCAATCCACTGACGACGGTGGCGCAGAGCGAAGGTGTCTAATTTTGTGGAGTGCTCCCGAGGCCATTTTCTTCCACTGGTTGACAGCTTTTGGAGAGCGCTTTGAAAGCCAGATGAGGGTTTGAATTGGCAAGAGAAGTAAGAGCCAATGTGTGAAATTCAGGAAAGGAGGCCCGAAACGGGCTGCCCTTCTTCGAGGGATTAGGGAAGAAGAATTAGGAAAGGAATTAGGGCTTAAAACTTCATTTTTTCCAGCTTTGACCAGATTAAGTGCTGCTCGCTGAAAGTCTTCCATTGAGAGCTAAAAGACCCAGCAGACGATCTACGAATCAGTTTCACTCTGGGTCATTACACTGCAACCGTGGGTCAACCTTGTAAAATAAACACACATACATTTAACATACCACTCAGAAAGAATCACATATACTGTCCATTAGATGTACACCCAATACATAAGCACCATTTCACTAGCATTTGATACAGCTGTACCGTTTCTAAAGCTCTCCATTATTCTCCCACGAGAAGTGCTGCGAGGTTCAGAGCTTCTTACATTCACACACAAACTAACACGTGTGCTTATCTCCGGCTCTGACTATGATCTGCCCCGATGGCACCCATAATAACACTTGTGATGGAGCCGCTCTCAGATATATAATGGAAGAAGAGTGCAGGGGAAGGAAAGGAGATGAAGAGTTGAGGATGATGAGAAATGAGAGGTAAACAGGATGGAGAGAACATCAAATGGCATTTGTGGTATGTAGCAAGGAGAAAGAATGAAAGAAAACACAACAACAAAGTAAACATGACAATGACGGAGAGCGTTCAAAAACAGATGAATGATGAGAGACATAAACAGAGACCGAGAGAGACAAAAACACAAAGGGACAGAGAGAAAGAGACAGAAAAAAAAAACTTCAGCAGCTAAGCGGTCGATGGGCAGTCAATAAAGTGTCACTTTCTGCAAGCTAAGAAGCTGGCCTTGATGAGGGGATCTGACCAGGATCGAGGCTGAAATGAACATTCGCATTAGTGGCCACAGCAACTAGTGCTTTACCCACCGAATGACCTTCCCTAAACCACAATCTCATATTAGACCATAAAATGCCCCAGATTAAAAATAAAAACATTTTGTAAGGATTTCTTACATGCCTAGCTGTGGAAAAAAAAGAAAGAAAGATAGGCTCCCTGAAAGCTTTCTGCTAGATTTAACTCCTTCATAATACTGTTGTGTTAAAAAAAATAACAGACTTGAACTAAAATCAATTGTCTTAAATGCTAGTGAATTTAGGTAGAGATTTGCAACACATTAGTCTTAAAAATAAATGTTCTTTATTTCCATTGAAGGTTCCACGAAGAACCTTTAGCATTCATGGAATCTTTCCATTGAGCAAAGGATTTTTGACAGTATAAAAAGGTTCTTTGGATTATTAAAATGGTTATTA